TCACCAAACAAAGTTGCGGGTTTTCCGCTGGGATTACAAGATTTATTATATTTTAAGGCGTCCACCAAAATATTTCGGAGCTGGACCAATTTGAAAATATGTACCTCCAAAAATTAAGTTTTTTATGAATAAAAATTGTTTCTTAAAGAAGTTTTTGAAAAAGTCCCCTCAGATGACAAAACCGATTAGGCTTAAAACATCTGCATAAAAATATTTAAAAATCTATTCAACGGAATCGTAATAATGAGATGCTTGATGCGGTTTTTTACTTTTTTCAAAGATTGATTTACGAAAAACTTAAATAACTGGGCCAAAACTATTCTGATTTAGACTTATGGGATCTCAGTAGAAAGGTATTTTCCCACTAATTTCATTTATATTATCCACACACTAAATGTTAATCTTTTTTTAATGTAAAACGTGCAAATGTATTAGCAACAGTCAACGTTGCAAGGTATATCCATAATTTGTATCTCTATTGAATGTAAAAAACGTAGTCGCATTAAAACATTTCATAAAAATATTTCAAAAAGTTAAACGCACAAGTTTGAGGTCAGACAGAAATAATAGCGCATTAAAAAAAGCAATTCGATGAAATCTGCGCGACTACAGCAACAAAATTCCATTTAAAAAGGCACTTTAATGTTTTTTATATTTGTAGCGTCACAAAAGATATTAATGTATTGCTAATGAATAGCGAATTTATTTAAGAAATTTTAATTGCTTAATATGAATATGTATGTTAGAAATTCTTAGTCAAAGATATTCATTTAAAAATTTTTCAACGGTTTATTTTGCTGCTTGCTTTTTAACTTTTTGATTTATTTTTTATATTTTACACTTACATATGAAGTTAAGAAGCTTTTAATTATACTTAACACTTCTGTAAACCTCATTATAAAAGCAGCGTTTTAAAAAATTATTTATATATACTTTGAACAAATAAAAAAAAATAGAATGTGTATTGAATTTAATTCTTCAAATGCAATAAATATATTTAAAACATGCAATTGGATGCCTTTTATAAAGAAAACATTATTTTTGAACGATGATTTGCTGAACTGAGGTGAATAAGGTAAGGCCGTACTAATTTATTTAATAGGACAGCAAATATGATAAAACGTCCTTTGACAAAATTAAGGAACGCGTGCGTTGGTAAGCTCGAAGGTATTTTTCAAATAAATTTTTAAGTGTTGAGGCACAACTTTTACGTCTCTCGGAGTTCTTACCAATTGATAGAAATGTTACCCAAACTCATGGAGGAATAATAACACCAAACTAAAAAAAAACGAGTTTTCAATATAAATAACTTAACGATTAGTAAAACTGTAAAAATGACAATATTTACATATTTCTTGAAGTCTTATAGTTTTACCTTGTTCTATGAAAATTCTTATGGCAAGGAAATATTGCCGAGACATGCGTAATTATCCGTCGTACGTTTAAAACTTGGCAGCACCGGAACACATGCAAAGAACGTAAAATACGTGCTCTGGCCTGTGCTGCAGTTTTTAGCCATATACTTCCACGATTGAGAAATCATGTTTTCTCCACAATACAATTTAAACGAGCGAATCGCACTCGCTATCGAATAGGCACTCGAAACCAAATTTCGATTCGAGTACCGTTCGAAATCGAATGCCACGATTCGGGTCCAGGTAATTATCTTCAGTTGGCTGGAACTTGGGTACGTGAGTCGAAGATGCTCTTTGTTTTATGGCATCAGAAAACGTCCTGCCGGAGGGAGTCACGAATTTGGTAAATCACTTGCGAGAAGAAGCTACTGACGAGTCAGAATACAGTGGCCATATGTAGATCAACTTTCTTCGTACAAATGTACATGAGTCTACGAAGCTCAAAAGTTATAAAAAGCAGTAAAGGCCCGTCCACATAGAACTTTGGCGTTGGCGTCGCTTCAACAGCTGACTATGAATACATGAATTCAAATCCACATAGCCAAAATTCGGCAACGCTCACGTCAACACAAAGCAAAAAGATGGCCAACTCTCATCTATTCGCGTGCGTCGCCAGTCAGCTGTTGCAATTAAATAAAATTACGTCAAATATATTTCCTTTTTAATCAAGTGTGGGCAAGAAATATTATTTTTAATGTAATTATTGATATGAAATATTAATTTATCTGTCGTTAGTATGTTAATTTAGTGGCCCAAGCATTCGCTGCCAAGCGTTCATTGTAACAAGCATACTCTTAACATGCGTTCTGTCAAACCCACGCCAATGCCAAAGCCAACGCGAAAGTTCTATGAGGACCGGCCTATGTGAACCGGTCTTAAACGATGTTTCCATGCAAAGTGATTCGCTCTCCCATTCGTGATTGGCGCCCCAATTAAGAACCGATTCACGTAATTCGCCATACAAAATTTTGAGAACGAATCACTTCATTCGTAGGTGATTCAGATCCAATCAACATGCGAATCAAGAACAAATCGTTGTCTTCTTTAATTTTTATCGATAACTGCTGTCAAACCACATAGACCACACACATCCCCACCAGTACAAACATTGAAAAAATAGCTAGATTCGTTAAAACTATTGATTTAGCTAATTAGCCGCTGCAAATTTTTTCTGCACCGTTGAAATGCACAATAAATAGCACATTACACATCAAACAAAAGCAAAGAACAAGAAGTAGAGATGCAAAGTGAATCACGAATGTGACATGTAAACTGGTTGATTCGCCGTTCATAATTGAGAGAGCGAACCACGTGATTCGGTTGGCGTGGAAGCGCCGTTTTAAGTGAAACTGCTTCAATTACGTGGAATAGGGCTGGATAACTCATTCATTTTTAGCGAGTTAACTCAATGGCTCAAGCTCATTTTAATGAGTCAGCTCAGTGAGGTGGCACAATTGAGCTATGACACTCTTCTGTCGAGGCAACACATCCTTAAGTTGGTTAGCCCTGTTAGTTAACACTGTTTAGCTGATGAGCGCTGCAGAGCTGGTATATACATACTCTAGAGATCTAAAGAGGTAATGAGTTGGGATGCGCTGCAGGGCTGTTGCGCGGAATAACTTGAACGAATAGTACATTTTCACAACTATTAAATTTTTCGCAAATTTCTCGTCTTTATTTTCATTCTTTACTCTGAGTACCGACTATGTGGCGAATATTTATTGAGTTACTGAGTCATATTTTTCTTTAGAAGTGAATCTGAGCGTGCGACACACTGCTGGGAGTCACCTCAATAGCTCCGCTCAGTGCTGAGTTACCCATCTCTAACGTGAAAGCAGCCAAGGCGATAAGTTGTGTTTTACCTGCAGCAGAAAATTTGGATGGCCTTCAATGCAAGTGGTTTCTTTTAATTAATAATTTTTGCGTTTGTGCTTAAAGTTTCTTTAAGTTATGTTTGTATAAAAAAATGTGAATTTTAATCAAAGTTTTGTGATTTTTTAACTACATTTATTCTACATTCTATTTCTGGAAGTGGAAGGAGATTTTTTCTTTCTTGCTGGTAAGTTCCTAACAGCAGTTCATATACATTTATTTGTGGTAGTTGGAGCATTGGTTTTTAGAGATGCATACTTTGGCGTCTGGTGACGTGGACATGACTGGGGATTTGCTGCCTGATGTGGGTGGGTTCACAGCCAAGTCTAGGGCTAGGAGAAAAGGTAATAAGGCCTCGGATAAGAGGTTCAAAAATAACATGGATTTAAAAAGTGGAAATGGATTTTCGGATGAGGATTGTCGAAGTTAGGTTAATAAGATTTCTTTGCATGGGATGCTTATTCCAACGTTCTCTATTAATAGGACGCGGCTTTTTGAAAATAGAGGTCGAACTGACGCTAATGGTTTTAATGATTGCGATAATATCGGCACTTTTAATTCAGGGGAACTTTTTCAAAGTGGTAGTGGTAGTAGTGAAAGTCATGGCAACAAAGAAGGCGAGAATATTCGATGCTTGGAAAATGGTGATTGTGGAAGAGATAATGATGTTAATATGAACAGTGAGGGGAGGTAATAATCACGAAATACAAATTGAAGTAAACGCAGAAGAAGTTTTGGAAGGAGTTAATAGATTACCTGCAAGTGACAGTGGTGCCAATTTTATTGGTGATGGCAGTGCAAATAAAGATGTAACTAATAGGGCTTTCGCACGAGACGATTTTTCAGGCAACTTTTGCGTTCAACTCACGCAGGGTTGCACGAAAAAAAATTGAATGGCTAAAAATATCAAAATATTCGCCATAAAAATATGTTTGCCTTGGTCAACTTTGAATTCTACTCTTGGTTGAACGGCCTTTCAACTTATCGCTTTCAACAAAGTTGTTCGCCATCCAACATTTAGCCATTCAACTTTTTTTTCGTGCAACCCTGCGTGAGTTGAAAGCAAGAGTTATTTCTTGGTAGTGAACTCCCTGAATGTGACATAATATTTTTTTATTTGAAATTTTATTTCAACACAGGTTGATTAAAAGAAAAATACTGATAAAAATTAAATATTTCACGCAAACAGGGTTGAGATTTTGAAATTTCTACCAGTATTTTAAGTGTTAAAAACTTTTTTCTTAAGCTAGTTTAAAACATTTATAAAACATCAATCATATCATTAATAGGTTTCGTACTTTTCAAAAGTTTAATTTGCAATATAATACCCCTTGTGAACCGGTTCGGAGAAAATGAAACTCATATTTAATAAGGCTGAATTCTGAAAACATTTGAGCTAAATTGTAGACACTTGCAATGGCAACTCTGAACTCGATGATATCCCAAACTACGAAA